TGCCCTGCTGCTAAGGCTGGTTTGCTAGGGATTTACTGTCTGCTGTATTGCTGACTTGCTATAAATCTGCCTGTACTGCAACTTTACGATTTAAGACCAAGGGGAGGGGCGGGGATGGGCGGGCCCGCAGGGCCCAGGGGGACAGCAAAGACGCCGAGGCCGTCGCCAGAAGACGCCAAAGCGGGCAGCCGAGAGAGCGCGGAGCTGGCGGCGTCCGTCTAAGGCTTTACTGGGTCGGCTGCGCCAGGATGAGACCCCCGGGGCCAGGTGACCGCGGCCCGGCGGCCCAGGGGGCGCCCCGGAGCACCCCACGCGGTCCCGAGGCTGCCGGGCGAGAAGGGGCGCTTGCCGCTGGCGGAGAAGCCTATGCTCCCCCCGCCCACCTTGTCCGTTGGCAAAGAGGGGCGCGCACGCTTGCGTGAGCCCGCCGGGCCTCCAGGGCAGGAGTGCGCTCACCGTACAGCCGCCTGGGGGGAACTGACTGCAACCGCTGAACCAGTAAAAAAACCCCGCCGCCTTTTTCCAAATTCCCGATCGCTTCTGGAGGGAAGGGGCCAGAGTTGAGGGGGCCCCTCTCCGGAAGGAGCCCCTGATCCACGAAGCGCCCTGCGCGGGTCTCCAGCTGGGACCACAGATTGCAGGCCAGCCCGCGTGGCCCCGATCCCTCTTCGCCGAGAGCGACTCTCGCCTAGGAGGAGACGGACAGAGAGGGGAAAGGGCCCCGACTCCAGGAGGAGGGGGTCGGGCGTGGCGGAAAGGACTTTCCGGCACCTGCCCGTGTCTGGGAACAGCCACGACCGTGTGTTGCGCGTCTAAAAGTCGCGGTACTCGTTTGCCTCGGCGCGTGTAAGCGGGTAGGAACCCGCTCTGCTCGAAACGAGGGGCAGTTTGCAATCGGGGAGTTCAGTTTTCCTCCGCTGAAATCCCCACCATGCCCCACTCTACAAGCGCCAGCGCCCTTCTCTTTTTTTGCACCTGACTTCCTGATACTGAATAAAATTAGGAGGCCAACGCTGGATAGTAACGCTGGGCTGCTCAGAAACATCTCCCTCTTCACTGTTCTGAGGGTAATGATGGACTGATTTAATTATATCAGCATCCATTAAAGCAACATCTCCAAGACATTTGAAAATCGGACTTTTAAACATTTCTTTATTTAGTGCTTTTGTTCTAAACAAAAGAAACAGCTCCCTTTCACCCGCCAATAAAATTGGACTTTTAGTGCAAAAAGTCTTCCTCAGTGGATAAAAACCTTCAGATTTCTGAAATACAGTACATAATTACTAGGCACAAAACAAACGTTTTAAAAACGGGAATCAAGTTAACGTGCAGCTTGAACTCAGTCAGAAAACATCTGGCCAGTCCTTGGGTGCGGTGGGGGTTGTAACAAACACAGGAACTGTGTTGGCTAAGAGAGTGGAAGCATAAGCAGCGGGAGAAATGACCACCTGGGCTAACTCCAGCTGCTGACCAGCCTGGATGTTCCTTTCCTCTTTCTGAGTCTCACAGTGACTGTTTTGCTGGAACACCCGGTCGGAGTGCAATAAATGGTGCACAGGATGCTTTGGGAAATAAATAATGGAAAGGTATATTGCTTCGTCCCAATTTTTGTTTTGGATCACTTTCGTTTCCTAACTTGGAAGGCTCCCTTCCTGTCTTCCTCTGTGCAAGTGCGAGCCCCCAAATATCTGCACGTTCTATTTTCTGTCTTTTCTTCTGTATCTTTATTTCCAAAAATAAGAAACAAAAACAAGAACACCCTTCCTTTATTTGAGGCCTGCAGAGCTGGCGATACTCAACGTCATACATGGCCCCGTCCTCCTAAGAGGAAGCTGGAAGGAAATCTAGCCCTCAGACATCCTTAGAAAGAAGAAGCTGCAGTCAACAATTACTTGACCGCAGTTACCGCTTAACTCAGCCCCTTTCTCCCTGGTCGTGTCTCGCAAAACTTTACCGGGCTGACTTTGGGGACGGGCGAGGCAACTGTTGCATTCTTTCTCCACCCCCAGGCCCCCTTCCGGCACCTTCTAAGACTCCCAGAGGCAGATCCTCATTTGACACTCCTCCCTCCTCCTCTGCCCCACCTTCCTTCTCCAGCCCTCCCCAGTGGACGGGATCACCGCGTTCCCTCCGGCCTGTCCCGCCCGCTGCAGCCCAGCTTCACGGAGCTGGTGGGGAAACCGGGGATGCTGGAAGACCTCCGCTCCGATCTTCATTAGATTGGAATGGAATGGAATGGATTGGAATGGAAAATACTGATCCAACTGGTCATTTCAAATCTCCAGGTCTCCCCTTAGCCTTCCAAAAGCCTTTGGTCTTCATGAATTGGTCTCTCACACAGAAACACACCCTCTTTGTGCAACTGCTCCGAAGAAAACAGACCGAGCACCTTCGTGAAATTGAGGGGGGGGGGAGAAATTGCCCTTAAATTCATGTGCAACTCAGGAAAGGGGGTCTTAATTCAAAGCATGTTTCAATCAACCTGCGAAGTTCTACTTATTAGGCATAAGTCCAGTGTGCAAACTTTAAAAAAAAAGGGAAGGAAGGAAGGAAGGAAGGAAGGAAGGAAGGAAGGAAGGAAGGAAGGA